TTAAATTTCTAGCCCAATTATTTCAACTCTCTCATTCAAACAATGACAAAATGGTCTCCTTGCCTTGCAAGTTTTGTAGGTCTATAATGCCAATGGGCTGTTATTCAAAACAGGACCCAAACAATTAAAGACCTAAACCTCTGAACATGCCCTTTAGATGAAAAAACTATCTTTGCAAATACAGGGATGAATTACCTTTAACCCCTCTTCCAACGATGATAAGCATTGGAATTATTTTAAGGCCATTTACTCCAGTGAGAAAAACTGATAGAAGCATAGAGTAAGACTAGACTTCTCTCCTAAAGGAACACAAAGAGATCAATGTTCCTTTTTTTCCCAGCTGCAAAGGCTATGCGAGTAAAACCACCTCAAAAGTGAGAAAACAAACACTGAGAAAAGATTTTCATTACGACCAAAAGAAATACATTTGTAACTTGACTTCTCTTATACATACATTTGCAGTACATAAAGACGCAATCACAGGAAATTTCTGTTTAAAAGAATCTAAGTCCCAAACTAAGGGCAAGACAGGACAGGAAACTTCTGGATTGTACTTGTGCCACTTCCTTCCATTCACATTGTTACACACGTCCACTTACATGTACTTAACAAACAAACAAACAAACAAAAATTCATGTTTAAGCCAACATGTGTGTGTGTGTGTGTACTGACCTATGTTAAGGTTCCTGCACTGCAAGCCCCTCATACATGATTTGTATAACTGATATCAATTACCATGTGTCCTATATGGCCTCCTTTATCTCCCTCACAAGCAGGCTCAATAACAAAGAGCCGGGAAAATGTTCCAGCACTCTTACGACATGCGACACTTAACCTGGCTGATATGTCATCATGTTTTGATAAGTACACGTATGCCTGTATACAAACTTTACAAGGCAGCATGTATTTCTTGACATCTTGACACACTTTGATCAAATTTCATTAACTGTAATCCTCTTCTATCTTTGTGATCCTGTACTTCTCCCTCAAAATACTGGTTCTCTTTTGTTCTGTNTGACACACTTTGATCAAATTTCATTAACTGTAATCCTCTTCTATCTTTGTGATCCTGTACTTCTCCCTCAAAATACTGGTTCTCTTTTGTTCTGTAGAATTTTTAGATCCAATTGATAAACTTATGTACATTTGGTGGCAATAAGATCTTATGTAAGTAACAAAAAACTTCATATACATGTACTGTAATCAGCCAGGACACTGCCCTTGTTAGAGAATGAATACCACACACAAACATGGACAACATAGAACCTTAATCAAAGGCAATTGTCCATTACAGATCTCATCTGACATTTTTTCATTACTTATTTTGGTTTGACCATTATTCATTCTTAAGTTTTCAATTTTTTTTTTTTACACAATATTTTATGTACGAAAAGAGCCATCTAGAATAACAGAAAGTGACAGAAGTTCTAACAAAAATCCTCATCACAGGTTTGTGATCATTGACAAACCATCTTCAAGGTGTCGCAGTTTAAGCCACTGTAGTTGTATTGAAGTGTAGCGTACGAGCTGCTGGCCGGTAGCTGGCCAAGAACTGATGTGCTTGCTGTGTAAGCAACTGTTGATCAGGTGTTTTGCCACATGCTACTTGTTCCCATGGTGTGTCAAGCTGCTAAGATAAACATAAACAGGAATATAGATACCAACAAAACAATTACAGCCTCTCACATTGTCTCTAGACTAAGGACATAATAATATTCTTGATTACACCAACTATAATCCAGTATTCTCATNACATCCCTCACGTGTAGGAGACTTCTGCATCCACTTCAGCAGGGGTTTCATTAAGGGCTGGGCAGTCGGCAAATTTACCAGCTGTGGGGATGACCATCTAGAGGAAATGTTTTCTTATGAAGAAGTTCAGTTTAAGAAGTTTTGCCCGCCTGTGAAAACCATTAACCCCCCTACTGAAAATGTTAATGAAACCCCTGCTTTAGGCTACGAATCTGATGCCACATCAAGACAATAAACACTAGTTTATCACACTGTTACTTCCCAACACTTTTTGCCTCACAATGCATTGAATATGTAACAAGGAACTTGTAATATCCAGTCCACCATTCCGACAATTCCAGTATAGTTCAGTTTTGCACATGCGCATACATCGCTATATAGTACCACGTTGTCAGATGTAGTCGGCGAAGTGTTTTGTTATTAAACGGCATTTATCCAGAGAAAGACTCGCGGTTGTTACAGAACTAGATGCTTATCATTTCTTTTGAAAAATGCATGGCATTTTAAGCGTTACTTAATGACATACTGAAGTCTAAAGTCTAAAGTTAACACTTGGGAACCACAAGTCACCTGGATATCTACAGCACTAGGACATAAGAAATGTTCAACGCGTGTAGTTTGTGCTGCGTTTTTTCCACTTACTACAGTTTCAGATGGCACAGAACAGGGTGTGGCGAAGGGGTTGTGCTGGCCAAAGATCTCTGAGGGTTTGATCAGGGATGAATCCCTGTATGGTGAGGGTACAACTGATGTATGCACAACACTCGAATCCTCCTGAAAACTACAGCATGTATTAGAAAAATACCTTAAAAATATGTGCGCTGATTGGTTTTAAATCATGTATCCCTAACTCGATGGAAACACAGAACTAGCACCACCTATTGACGTAATGATGGCGCAAGCAAAGAGAATTTACATTTTGATGATCAAAGTAAACAAGGTTTTTTTTCTTTTTTTCGTCACCGTATTTTCTAAAAGAAATAGAAAACATGTTCTCCACGTTTCTATCAAGTTATAGAAGCATTCGTGAAAGTTTGGGAGAACTCAAATAAGCTGTGGAAACACTTGCTTAACGTATCGTGTTCCCACAGCATTTCTTGTTCTCCCAAACTTCCACTCGTGTTTCTATGATTTGATAGAAACAGAGTACATGTTTCCTATTTCTTAATAATTATGTTCCTCATTGTTGGGCGAGCCTAAGTTGGTCAAAATCAAGCTGCGCGTAAGCCGGTCTCGGCTACTTTTTCAGTGTTAAGATTAAGTCAGGCTATATTTCGGCCAACAGGCTCGAAACCGAACGTTTGATTATTTTTGACGTGGCGATTTTATTGAAAACCAAGGTCATCACAAAATAGTTTAGAGTCCCTGGGACTGGGAAATATCGTCTAAGTTCTTGGAAATCAAGCCTAAGTTGGTCAAAATCAAGGTGCGCGTAAGCACGGTCTGGGCTACTCTCTTAGCGTCAAAATTAAGTGGGACTATATTTCGGCCAGGTAGCTCGAAACTGAGCGTTCAATTATTTTTTTTCTGGCGATTTTACTGAAAACCAAGGTCATCACGAGTTAGTTTAGAGTCCCTGGGACTGGAAAATATCGTCCAAGTTCTTGGAAATGAAGCCTCAGTTGGTCAAAATCAAGCTGCGCGTAAGCCGGTCTCGGCTACTTTTTCAGTGTTAAAATTAAGTCGGGCGTATATTTCGGCCAACAAGCTCGAAACCGAGCGTTCAATTATTTTTCCCCTGGTGATTTCACTAAGAACCAAGGTCATCACGATTAAGTTTAGAGTCCGTGGGACTTAGAAATATCGTCCAAGTTCTTGGAAATTAAGCCTAGGTTTGTCAGAATCAAGCTGCGCGTAAGCCGGTCTGCACTACTTTTTTAGTGTTTAAATTAAGTGGGGCTATATTTTGGCCAGCAAGCTCGAAACCGAGCGTTCAATTATTTTTCCCTTGCGATTTCATCTAAAACCAAGGTCATAACGATTTAGTTTGGAGTCCCAGGGACTGGGAAATATCGTCCAAGTTCTTGGAAATCAAGCCTAAGTTGGTCAAAATCATGGAGCGCGTAAGCCGGTTTTGGCTACTTTTTCAGTGCTGAAATTAAGTACATACATACATATACTTTATTTAACCTCGAATTTACAGAGTAGCTTGTTAGCTACTATCTTCGAGAGAAATAAATATTAGAAAGAAAAAGTAAATAGATAAAATAAAATAAAATGAAATACAATTACAATTCTATTATCATTTATACACTATATATATTTACACTGTGGAAAAGCCTCATATTTAACGATCTTTTGCTTGAATTGAAGAAAATCAGATGTCCTGTAAGTGTCCGGNTGCAGTGATTTGATTACACCCTCCTTCCAAGAAGCATCCCCTTCTAAAAAGCACTCCCCCTTGAGTGTGCCCCCTTCTAACAAGGGTTCCCATTATGAAGTGGCCAAACTTGATTAATGATATGATATAATTAATAATATGATTTGAAGACCAATCATGCAACATTTCATACCTTTTTTTCAAGATGTACCTCATGCTGATATGCAACTGATGGTATTTTATATGTTCAACTTACATGTGCCATTTTTGCTTCATTTAACACCTTCAGAGCATTCTTGAATGGCGTTGGAGTACGTGGTGACACATTCAACAAAGTTCTCCTAATACGTGGAGTTCGGAATGGATCATCCCCAGAGCTGGTTTCCAGTAAACCAGGTGTATGTAGAGTAGTGTTTGTTGTGCTAACTTGAGTCTTTTCATTAGCTGGAGTCGAGGTCTGAACTTTGCTGGTATTCACTGGAGAGTTTAGGAACTGTGAGGGTGAGAATGGCAAGGACTTTATAGGTGTGGCTCCTTTTGGACTACTGAAAGAGGGATCTGTATTGGCACTGTGGCTGGCATCAGTGTCGCCAGACTGAAGATGGCAGTCAAGGAATAGCTACATACATGTACATGCACAGCAGAAATAGTCACAAAGCAGAATCTTGCTACTCTTAAACACAATAAATAATTATAATATCACCGATGACACAGTGTTGATACTGCTACTCTAACAATTTTTGTTACTATTGTTTACTTGTTCTACGTGTATGTGCAGATACCAAGATTGCCATACCTTTTTGCTCTGAATCTTCCGGGATTGGTTGAAAATAAAAAATAAAAAATGATGGCCTTATGCCTCACTAGGGATAAAGAGGATGGGGGAGGGGGACACCAAGCAGTTCATGTACATGTAGTATCAAATCTAGAGTTTCCATCTACATACACGTTACCAAACATGCAACCAAATTTACAGAGAAGTGTCAAAAGGATACTTTTCTCTTTCGTCCTCTTCTTAAAATAGTTGGAGGTGTACTAAATCTATTCTGCATTACTGGTGAGGTTATAGGAATTAATGATCTGAAATTTGAGAACAACATGACAACAGTTACTCAAATATACCGCTTCTAATCACTTCAAAAGTAATCATACTCTAAATTCAACTTTGACCAAGTAACCATTTTCATGTCACTGTTTTCATATCATGAAAGAATAATAAAAATAAAAACATGTCCTGATATTGTTGGGTGTAAACATGACATCTTTGGTATCCAAACATTTGGTGTTTTACTGCTGTTAAGCAAACTTTCATGCTGACATTTGGGTAACTTGATTAATAAACACCAGATCTCAAGTGAACGCTGGCTAGGACCAAACTGCCAATTTTAAACATACATTGTAAAAACTGGGGCATTAAAGCAAGAAATTAAGGGAAGCCTTAAAAGTGATAGAGCCATAAACTCACCCTCCCTCTGTCTGAAGACTTGCTATAGAATTACCATCGAATCTGTATCCTAAAAAAGTAAAATCATGTTAAGGTAAGTGCGTAGCAAAGAATGCTGCAAAGCAATTTTAGTGGGGTAAATGTTATTCACATAATTATATTTATTAACTTGTGTGAGGGTGGCCAAGTTCCAAAAGAAATTCTAAGTAAAAAATTAAAAGTGTACAAAGAGAGCTGTGAAAAAGACAGCAGAAGAAAACTTCTTGCCCAGAAAAGTTGCCCAACCCTCCTCCTCCTCCAAAATTTTCTCACTGAGCAAGTCGCTATTTAAAGAAATGTATTATTTCGGTCATGTCCTTTTTCAACCAGTCTGTGTAATTTGCTAAGTTGTACTTTATATCTATTTCTTTTTTTTTGGGNTTAATTTTCATGTTACTAAAATTGTTTGTTTGAGCAGGCCCTACAGCACATTTTGGACACCCACTTTTCAAATCCTGGCTGAAAGCCTGTATAGACAGGTACATGTACACATTTTTTTGAAAGATCATAAAAAATGTCTCTTTGGTGCACTTGGTTTTGCCAAGGTTGACATAATTTGATAGGCATATGACGTTACATAGAAGGGAGAATTAGCAGTCTCCCAAATAACCTCCCACTAATCTCAGGTGCTGATAAGAGTTGTTTTTGGTTGTCCAGGAGTTTGACTAAATCTCTTAAAATTTTGACGCACTGAGTATGCCATATGGGCACCCGAGGGGCTAAAATTATGACATACTAGAGTAAGTCATACAGGCACTCAAGAGATTAAGTGATGCCAGAGTTACAACACTGTCACCAAAATTAAAACTATCTAGAGTAAAACTTCACCTGTTGTGCCAGGAGATGTCAGCTTTGACAATGGTAAATTCTTGCCCACACTGGCTGTCTTATCAAACGAGTTGATATCACCCCAGGCTGACGGGTCTGATTCAAAAAGGGAATCCCCCTCAGAAAGGATAAATGTTCTAAAGGGAGACATGAGACCTTGATTTGATGTCCTTCCACTGCTTTTGCTTATCGCAGCTGTTGTTAGAGTTTCACGAACAGTAGGTTTTGGTTTAATGTTTGTCAGGTCTGAGCTGGTTCGATGTCTAGAGCTCTCCCCTTGATTTGCTGTAACCATTGCTGGTAGATCATCATCTGATGTAGAATTTTGCCCACTGAACATTGTGTTTGTTGGCTCATCTCTCCTTCTTTTCTCTGTAAAGTAGAAATTTAAGAACCAAATTCACACACCATGCTTTAACAGGAGAACAGTAACAATTTAAGTGTCAAACCCCGGCTTGAGAGATTGAAGACCTCAGCAGAGCGTGGCACCCAGGGTTTTTCTGACCTGGGTCTCATAATTAAAATAAATGGAGTAGTTTACATTGTACATGTACCAGATTCATGCCTCCTAATGATTGTTCCCAAAAGAATGTTGCTTGCTGTACTGTACACATTTATACCAACTAATAATGAAAATAAAATCTTCTGGGTAAAGAACAACTCAATACATGATTGTTTATCATTCAATCTCATCAGCCGTTTTGACTGTTTGCAAGTTACTAGTCAAAATAATAGTCACAACCTGAATAGGTACAAGAAAAGAGAATAATTACAATATTTATCCATGATATGATTAATAACCGTACCTTTCCTTCCTGCAAGTAGAGTTCCCTTGCCATATCGCTTATCAGACTGAAATGAAAGAACAAAATTACAGGTACATGTAACTTATTTTTAAAAGTTACAATATTTTCTCTTACATAGTTGAAACAAATATTTCATGATATGATTTTAAAATATATTTATAGCTGCTGTTAAAAAGATGATTCCAGGAAGAGAATGAGGTTTCATTACCACATGATTGTATCTGATTTTCCTGTAGTGATCATATCCAGCACTTTCAACCTTCCGTCTCATTGTTGAGTTCCAGTGGTTCTTAATGGAGTTGTCAGTTCTGTCAAAAAGTTGTAATCAAATGTTTAGCAAAGCAGTATGCTGTAGAGTGTTGTTTGAAATCCCTGTTTCCTAAAAGGGATGCAAAGTACCACCCACTCCCCACTTACATGTGAGTCTCAGTTCTTTTGGGGAAGTGGAAGTGCTGTTCTGTCTACATGACAAGTTATTTTACAGTTTGATCAGAGACAAAATGGGTTGCTTCTTGGGAAATTATAACATGCACATCTG